AAATAAAATAAATAAAATAAATAAAATAAATAAAATAAATAAAAGAAATAAAATAAATAAAATAAATAAAATTAATAATATAAATAAAATTAATTATTATTGGTCCGATTACAAGGGCCAATAATAATCATTTCCCATTCTCGTAATTACCACTACCGTGAGAACAAACCGGTTTTTATTTTTTATTGGCCAAAATCCGATAAAAACCTAGCAGGGGTAAGTAACTCCACCCATTTAAAAAATCGTGAATAATGATTCAATTTTTAATCGAACTTTTATAACAAATCAGCGTTTAGTGTGAGTTATCTTATTTTAATTGGATCTAATTTTGCACAATGGGTGGAGCCAGCCCCAAAACCAATATGAATCATGCACTTTCGATTATTAGACCAATAAAAAGTAAAAAAATATTTAAGACTTTAAAGTTGAGTATCATTGTTCCACCTTTAGCCAATCAATTACGTCTATTAAAATCAACTAATCAGAACATGTCTTAGATTTTTCGACAAGAAAAGTAAAGACAATTAACATTTTTGTTTTAAAAATCGGCTTTTTTGGTTTTATGGTTAAAATAAAAAATAATTATTTGAAGAATAAACGTTAATTAATTAATGAACAATTTTCTGATTCAAAATACTTCAAAAAACTTCAAATTCTCAAACAAAAGACTATTTTTTTGTGTTTTTTGCCAGCGGTGGCTTACTTGGAATGAATTGGAAACATAACAAATTTCAAGAAAATCGGTCAACGATTAATGATTTTTTTTTTAGTTGGAGTACTAAGTTAGCCTTAAAATTTACAAATTAAAAATCGCTTGTGTTATACGATCAAATTTAAAAATTTCCGTGACACTGTCATAGAAATTATGAAAGTTAAGAAATTTCTTGGTTGCTGATTGATAGTTTATTTTGATTTGTCTAATATTTTACGGTAAATCTGTTCCTAATATTATGCATTTTGAAAGTAAAAGTTAAATCGTTTTTAACAGAGGTCGTTTAAACGTAGACTCAGCTCAACCAAAGATAAACATGTTGAATTATTATAATCTTACTAAACCTACTCCACTAATTAAAAAAAAAAGAAATTTGGAGTTTGCATTTATTATATCAGATGAATAAAAAGTATGGAACCAAACGTTTTTTGCTTAAACTATTTATTTTTTGGTAAAACTATTTGATGAATGATAAAGTACTATAAAAATGTGATGTTTTATCAAGAATAAAGATTTTCAAATATTTTTGTTTTGTTTTTTAGTTCTACATTTTTTTTAAATGGTAACCCACTATTAAACCATTTTTCTCATGAAGGTTATGACACTATTTTGACAAAAAAAATTGCATAACTCAAAAACAAAACAAAATTTCGTTTTCAAAATACGATCAGATTTTTTATATTACTCTAATTTATGTCAATTATTATTTACTGGAGGCAACCACTTTGTTCCATACTTTATATTCACCTTGTAAAGAAATTATTGGCATTAAAGTATTGAAAAAAATACAAAAAACAAAAATTTATTTACTTTTTGGAGTTCTTCTTCCTAATCGAAAAATGATAAGAACATTGGTATTTCTACAGTATTATAAAATTTCTTTTGGAACGAAAATAAATTTCCAGGTAAATAACGTAACTGATTTCTTACGAAAGCTGTAACAACAAATATTTCAAGCATTGTGGAGTTCTTACTCACATTATGTTATTTTTTTATTTTTATTGTGCACTGGTGAAATAAAATCTATTTTAATTATTTATTTATGAACGTTAGAGTTGTGATAAAAAAGTCTCAACGACCCCTTCTAGACAAACTTGAATATGTGTTTTTTTTTAATTAAAAACATTAAAGCTATAATTCTTGTTAATTAATAATAATTGCTCGTTTTAGAACAAGAGCAGACTTGTTGGCAATGTGTCTGGAAAGCAAACACAGCTATTCCCGTGCAACACTTAGCTTTCAGTCCTGATGGCACTTTATTTGCTACTTGTGGTGAAAACGATAGACTTGTGAAAATTTGGTATGAAAATAAACACTGTGAGTTTAAAAAAAATCCCCTCAGTATAATACTAAACAGTAAAATTTCAGTTTTATTCACATCTAAAAGTACTGACGGTCCTACGGAATTAGAATACGGTTTTGTGTATATTGCTCATCCTCGAGCTGTCACTCATTTGTCATGGCGAACAACAAGCAAATACATGCCGAAGTAAGTTAGTTTTTCAATCTTTTTCGGAAAAAAATAAAAGAAAATTGCAGAGGATCCGTTTCAAATATGCTTGTGACATCTTGCAAAGACAATATCTGCCGTCTTTGGGTCGAAACAGTACTACCAGAAGATGGTCTAGTCAATTTATCACAACTTGATCCTCAAGCAAATCATCCGAAATTCCGGACGCATCGTCACAAACACAGATTCATGCAAAGATTGAAACATATGAAGTATTTGAAAAATTTTTGAAAATTTAATGTATTTATCAATCGTTTCTAGAACATGTTTCCATATTCGGCGACACGCCAAAAGACAAGCGCAAGGAGTTGGGGGACCCTCCCCTCCAATACCCACTCTACCATCGACTTATAGCGTACATGATTTCCATTCCTATGGGTACCATGGAACAGGTGCGAATTTTTTTTCTAAAAGTAAAAAAAAAATCAATTTGGAATTTAGGTGTAACACCTGGACTTCATTTTCATTTGGCTGCTTCTGTAAATGCCGAAACTGATATTCCATTGGTACCAAGTATCAGTTTTTGTAACCCACGACCGGCTTTTGTTCTTCATTGGTTAGATAACAAAGAAATGCATTTTAATATGCAAGCTGAATCGTTACTAGAAGAGCTAACAAGACGAGTTGTTGAAAATCCCGAAGGAACTGAACCAGTCGAAGAACCACTTATGGAATCCAATGGTTCTGATAGTTTAGATGCTCGGATTGAAACCTTGCTTAGAGATTGGCACCACAGTCCAGATTTATTGTTTAGTATACATCCAGTAGATGGCAGTTTCTTAATTTGGTGAGTTATTTAATCGAAATGGTTTTGGTTACATTCTGGTTGATTAGGGTGGTTGAATGGTTGGATGAGTACCATCCAGGATCGTTCCGTCAAGCACAAGTGTCATTTTCAACCCGAATTCCGTCAGCGTTTCCTCTTGGCGACTCGATGAGTATGTCAACAACGGTGAGTTTGTACAGTGCTGCCCCCATCATCAAGCATCTAGTCAAAGACGTGGTTCATCGTGACGGTCCTGGTTTAGCCAGTGTTAAAGAAGAAGACGAAAGTAACCCCAATGCTGAAGTAGAACCAACACAAGAAGAACAAAACGAATCAGCTGTTGTTTCCTTAGTCACCAAACACGATAATGGAACCTTGAATCTTTGGGAATTAACTTTCGCCGATCAGAGTAAATTCAGTCAAGTTTTGAGTATTGGTCACAGAAGTAGGGCTTCAGGACACCGATTTAGAGTCAACGATATCACATGTCATCCAGTCTTACCTTTACTCCTCACTACAAGTCATCACAATATAATTGAGCAGAATAAAAATCAACAGAGTAGGGGTTTCTGTAGTGAGTTGATTTTGTGGAAAGTTGACGCTGTTGGGCCATTATCAAAATCGGGGGGTATTTGCGAGCTTGCTCGTATTAGTTCACCTGAACCGTCAGCGTTCAGTAATGTTGCATGGATTCCGACTTTGCTGCCATCTAGTACTTTGGGGAATTTTTCAAATTCACCAAGTGCTTGTTTCGTGGCTTCCGATGGTGAATGTTTGAGAGTGTATCAAGCTGTGATTGATGCACGCACACTTTTGGCCGATTTGTCATTTCGAGAACGACGCGAGGTTGATGAAAATGAAAGTATATCGGATTTATCCTCCTTCAATCAAGAGAGCTTATTGGAAAACATTAATATAGTATCACAGCAGAGTACTTCACGACCTGGGTGTATAATCCAATTGGAGACAATCTCTCAAGCCATTCAATGGCAAAACACTACGTTTTTACACGTGTATCAGGAACAGTTGATCACTGGTCAACGAAGCACTCCTGCGAGTCTTTCAGCTCATGATGCCATGGTCGACTTACAGCAAAATGCAGTCTTTGAAGAACCATTCTATATAGTTTTGTTGGATTGCACCGATCAAAACACAATTATACACATGTGGAAACTAACAATTGCATCGAATGAAGTTGATTGTTCCTTGACTGGGAGTCAAATGTATGTTCCTGATTGTAATCTAGTCCAAGACGAGAATGATATGTCTCGAAAAAACAGTATGGAATCTTTGCATATTAAACAAGCGAAAGTTAGTCCACATATTAATATTACTGTGACGAGAGAAGTTAAACAAATTCTTCCAATACCTGATGGTGTTGAGATTGTTCATGCTGCTCCAGCGGCCGGGCATTTGAGTTCAGCGTCGATTTATCCGGCTTGTTTAGCGCCGTATTGTTTTACGACAGCGTGCAGTGATGGGGTTATTAGATTTTGGACGGTTACGAGCAATCCACATGAAGTTAAAAGTATGAAGGAGTATTTGTTGGAGGAGGATGGGATGGTGGTCAATACAGGAAAGGTGAGTTTTCCCTCACAAACTTTAAGCCAATCAAATCTTTCAAATTTCTGAAATTCATCCAATCAGGTGCAAATTACGCGGTAATTATCGATAATTTGGCCGTGTGCTAAATTAGCGCAAATCTGATTGGGTGAGACTCAAATTTGAAAGATTTAATTGACTGAAATATTTTTTTTTACATATTTTTTTATTTCTCATAATGAAAATATTCTCCAAAATAACCCTTGTTTGTATTATCGACAATTTGGCTTGCACTCGGGATATTACTGTTGATAATCTTAAAAATATTTCCAAATAATTCAGAATACTTACAAATAATTCTAAATACTTTAAATAATTCAAAATTTAAATAAAAGTAAATTGATGTGATATTTATAGTCTGTGTGTGCTTGATTAAATAATTTCTTGATAGTTATTTACTACAAGAGTATATTTCATATTATTAATAATATTTACAAATTGCTGTAATTGTGATTACTTTTAATAGTTTTTGCTTTTTTATTTAATCTCTCTATTATTAAAAAAAGTAGATACAATCAACGACAAAAAATGTAATATAAAATGCGTTCTCTAATAAAGTAAAAAAATGTAAACAAAAATAAACAATATACAAGATGTCCCCAGATAGGTGAAACGACTTTTGTAAAAGATAAAATTTCGTGTGTCCGAGCACACTGTATAAAATCTAAAAAACAATATTAAGAACAAATACCTATTACAAAATCTGTTTTGAATCCTCGTACTTTCTATTAATTATTTAAATTTGATCATTATTTAATTTAAAAAGTTCTTCCGAACAGAACAAAATAAATAAATTATACAGGGTGGTCCAGAAGTCTGAAAACGATTTTTTTTTGGCGAAACTATCAATTTTTTTGGCAAATAAATTTATAGGTGTGCCAATGGCTATAAAAATGCTATTCAAAAAAAAACATTGAGCATCGGTTAATTTGTTTATACTTACGAGATTTTTTTTAATTTCATAAACCTACCACAATTTTTTTTCTAGACAACGACCTTGTTACAAGAATTGTGTTTTTGTAAACCTGACATTTTTTGTTAAAAAATGTTTGACTTACAAGTATTATTTTGTATTTAGTATTTGAGTAAACTACCAGTTTTTTTTTAAATAAATTAATAAATATTTAAATGTTGTAAAGAAGCGATACCAAAACATTTTTTATTTCAATTAATTGGTGGTAGGTTTCCATTAAAAAAATGTTACTATGTTTACTTTTCCTCTACTTTTGGTGATCTAATTTACTGTCGCTTGTTTTATAATTTTAAAAAATGTGATTTTAAATTCCTGTTTCTTTTATTACTTTTTTCCGATATGCCACTTTTCTTTACAATATATAGCATAAAACTAATTAATCTTAATGTTTTTTGCCATATTAATATTTCCTTCCTCTTCTTTCAAATCCTCATCTGAAAATGTCTCTGTGTCGAGTCATCATAATAAATACTGTCCCCTATCATTACTTAATCTGTAGTATTTTCAGTATGAAATAATTTTTTTTTCAAGTATTTTTTTTTCGCATAATTCTGTCTGTAACACAGTTTTGGGATTTAGTACTTTTTTGTTTTTACTTGAAATAAATTTTTGAAATCGATCGGTAGATATTAATTTGCATAAAGAATTAAAATGAGTTTAATGCATGAGTGCTTCCTAAGACTTTTAAACAATAATTCTAAATAATTCCAAACAATTCCAAAACTAGTAATTTATCACGTAATTCCAAACAATAATTCTAAATAATTTCAAACAATTCCAAAACTAATAATTTATCACGTAGTTCCACCATCTAGTACATCATAATTCCACAGCGGTTTAATCCTCGATTTCTTATCAAAGTAACCTGTGACTTTAAAATTAAGTTGGCAACATTGAATTATCGGTGATATTAAATTATGTCAAGTGACGTCCATGCCCGCGGCCGCTCGTCGGAAATGAATGACAATTGACTGTAAAAATGTGATGTTTAAATTAAATAGTTTATGTTGATAATTTAAATTCCAAGTCATAAGACACTTTGATGAGAAATTTATTTGAAAGCATTGTATCGGGTGACTGTAAATGATTGTGATTTTTTACCTCAAGTTGGTGCTAGATTTTAAATTTCAGATTAGCAACCTTAGCTTTCAAATTCAAACATCAAACTTTTATAGGCAATTGGCGACGAGCTACTGTTCACTTGAAACATTCTGATATAACAATTTGCCAATAGATTTTCTTCACAAACATTAATAGTTATTCGGTATAATGTATCATTTATGAAACCAAGCGTTTTATGCTTGAAATATTTAATGAAAAAGCTAAGTAATAAATGTAAGAATAAAATTTTTGGAGTTTTGTATTCTAAGTGCTACAAAATATATTTATGTTTTAATTTTCTCAAAGGTTTGGACTGAGTGGAACATGTTGAAAGAGTCGGCGATAGAGATCGAAGGCCAAGTCCTGAACATAAGTGTTGCCTATTCAGGCCGTTTAGCTTGTGCTTACAAGTACGGTAAAAGCTTCACTCGGCCCAATAAAAACGATCCAGATTCACGTTTCATCAACTTATGCGTGGCAATTTACGAATGCGAGTCAACCGGAGGTACAGAATGGGTATTAGAGGACATAATCCACTTGAAAAATATCCATTTACCTCGAATTAACATCGATCGACATCTCGATTTAAGTTACTTGTATGATTCACGCACTTTGAAGAAAAAACAACGCATCAATGAAGTTTTACACACTTTTTCAAACGACGATAGACAAACTCTCAGTACTGATTCACACATTAAACCGACTTTATTAGCAGTACCGAGTTTCACCACTTTACAATCTTTGCGAAAGTCTATATCAGAAATGGGCAATATTTGCCCACTTACCCAGAAACACATAGTCCAATTGGATTGGGTATCGAACGAGGACGGCTCACATATACTCACCGTGGCTTGTGGTAGCAAAATAATGCTGTATACACCTCTCTCGACCGATTTAGCACAAGCAAATGTCAAAGCCATGAAAGAATCGATCAATAATTATCGCCCGATTTTGCGAAAAGCCAGTTCTTTGGCTCAACCTCTTTTCGTCGACGATTTCAAATGGATGACTTTGCGTAAAATCGAGTTACAAACGGCCGATGGACTCCCAGCCCTTCCGATGCAAATCAGTTGGGTGCGCGATGGTATCCTCGTGGTAGGAATGGACTCTGAGATGCACGTCTACACCCAATGGAGGCCCCAAGACCAGTCTCTTCAACCCATGGATATCAGCGAGCCTGATGGTAAAAACGGACGTGATGTCGATTTCCGGACTCTCACTCAAGAAAATCAACGAAAATTGGCCGCAATTCCCACCTTGGGTCGCATCAGTTCGGTTAATTTACAAATTCTTGACCGGAAACGGGCAAATAAAGAGGCAAATCTCGATTATATGCCTGATTATGGTTTGTTTGAGGCATCGCGAATTGCATGCCCTGTCCTGCCCCAATACCATCCGAAACAATTGATGGAGTTGCTCAATTCGGGTAAAATTCGATGGGTGAAGGCTATTTTAGCCCATTTGGTTAAGTGTGTCGGTGGTAATCAGGAAACACCCGAAGAGATGCAAGGCTGGGCAAGGGCTAGAACCTTATCGGTGAGTTACCCAGCTGGTAGTCCCGAACATAGGGCTAGTATTGGAGAAATTGCTTTGGATTATGACGAGATTAATAATATTCCACCGCTGCCATTGTGGACACTTTTGGCCGCTGATAAGGAACAAGCAGGACCACAAGAAGAAGAAAAGAATTACAACGAGTTGTTTGATAGTAGTTTAGGAATGGAAGAATCGTTGGATACACTTTTGGAAGATAAGGAAATGTCGAGGATGGATAGGAGACAGTCAGAACGTAATATAGGCATTACACATTTTACTCCAAAACAAGGGAGGGTTTTATCACGACTTTTAACACATATGCATCTTCCCGGATTGTCGAGTCTTGATCAAATGCATCTTCTGGCTTTAGCTGACACGGTCTCGACTTGTAACACCGATTTAGCTGAAAGATTTGCGATAGATTCAGCAAAATCAGCAATGGCGAAAGAGAATCTTGTTGGACAGTCTGATGAAATTATCACCGATAGTTTGGATGATTGTGGACTCAGATTTTTGCTGGCAATGAAGCATTATGGATATCTATTGAGGTAAGGAATAGCTATTTAAAAAAATGTTATTCAAAAGAATTTTATTCGATCTTTAAAAGGCAGTTGGAGAATTAGAAAATTATTTAACTTACAAAAATTTTTTTTTTAAATTCCTAGAAATATTATTAAATATAATAAATGTCAGTCGGGGCTTTGCAAAACATCGTACTGCAAAAGACAAATGAGAAAAAAAATAGAGAAAATTTTCGAAAATAAAGAAATGTAAATGCAGACTTTTACAAATGGGCTACAAAAGACAGTTGGGAAGACTAAGAGAATGTCTAGAATTACCAACTTAAACGGTTTTTGCAATAAAATTTATATGCTAAAAAAACTTTAGGCTTGTAAGAAAGATTAAAAAGAAATTAGAGCAATTTTTGAAAATGAAAAAATGTTAATGGAGACTACAAAATTTTGGTCTGCAAAAGAGAGTTGGGAAGGCTAAATAAGTCTCCAGAAAGATCATTTTAAAAAATTTGTTAACTTAGCGGCTAAAAAAACTGAAGGCTTGTAACAAAACTTTAAAAAAATCCAAAAAAAGAAATGGAGACGTTTCCAAATTTTGGGCTGCAAGAAACTAAGAAAATATCCAGAAATATCAACCTAAAAAATATCTTAACTTTAAAACTTTTAAACTTTTTTTTTAAAAACCTCTAAAAGAGAAAAGAAACTCTAGGTTTGTAAACAAAACTTAAAGAAAATAAAGAAATGTTAATGAAGACTTCAAATTTTGGGCTAGTAGAGACAGTTGAGGAGGCTAAGAAAGTTTCCAGAAATACCATCTTAAAAAATTTCTTAACTTATCGACTAAAAAAACTCTAGGCTTTTAACAAAAGTTAAAAAAATCCAAAAAAAAAAAGAAATGGAGAAGTTTTCACATTTTGGGCTGCAAAAGACAGCTTATGAGGCTAAGCCCACCACTAAGACTACCAACCTAAAAAAATAAATCGCAATAAACTTTATCGGATAAAAAACTCCAGGCTTGTCATAAAACTTAAAAAATTAGAAAAATTTTCGAAAATAAATAAATGTTAATCGAAACTTTTCAAAATTTTGAGCTAAAAAAAAAGACCGTTAAGGAGACTAAGAGAATATCCAGAAATATCAACCTAAAAAATATCTTAATTTACGTTTAAATTTATGGACTAAAAGAAACTCTAGGTTTGTAACAAAACTTAAAAAAAAAATTAGAGAAAATTTTCGAAAATAAAGAAATGTTAATAAGACTTTTCAAATTTTGGGCTGCTATAGACAGTTGGGGAAGCTCGGAAAGTCTCCAAAAATACTATCTTAAAAATTTCCTTAACTTATCGGCTTAAAAAACTCTAGGCTTGTAACAAAACTTAAAAAAATCCAAAAAAAGGAAATGGAGACGTTCCCAAATTTTGGGCGGCAAAAGACAGTTTAGGAGACTAAAGAAGGTGTCTAGAAACACCAACCTAGAAAAAATTAAACTGGAATTAAATTAATCGGCTAAAAAAACTCCAGGTTTGTAACAGAATTTGAAAAAAAAATTAGAGAAATTTTCGAAATTAAATGTTAATTGAAACGTTTCACTTTTTTTTCAAACTTTTTAAACTTTACATTTTATCTTAGATTTAAATTTATCTTAAACTTACAAAAATTCTTACACAAAATTTTTATTTAGAGAAATGTTAAAGGAGACTTTTCCAAATTTTGGGGAGGCTAAGAAAGTTTCCAAAAATATTATCTTAAAAAATTTCTTAACTTATCGGCTAAAAAAACTCCAGGTTTGTAACAAAACTTAAAAAAAATTCTTAGAGAAAATTTTCGAAATAAAGAATTGGAGACGTTTATAAATTTTGAGCTGCAAAAGACAGTTTAGGAGACTAAGAAGGTGTTTAGAAATATCAACCTAAAAAAAATTAAACGGCAATAATTTTTATTGACTAAAAAACCAAAGGCTTGTAACAAAACTTAAAAAAAAATTAGAGAAATTTTCGAAAATAAAGAAATGAAAACTTCTCCAAATTTTGGACTACAAAAAACAGTTGGGGAGACAAAGAAAGTGTCTACAACAACCAAGCTAAGAAATTTCTTAACTTGCAATTGAATTTATTGGCTAAAAAAACTCAAGGCTTGTAACAAAACTTAAAAAATTCTTAGAGGAATTTTCGGAAATGAAAAGATGTTAATGGAAACTTTAAAATTTTCTTCGGAAAAGACAGAAATATCAACTTTAAATATTTCTTAACATGCAACAAAATTTTTAGAGAAATGCTCAAATGTAAAAAAATTAACAAGTATTTTAATCGATGATTTAGTTAATTCAAAAGAGCTATATTAAAACCGTCCCTTAGTTTACAGTTTTTTCCCTTGTAGATGTCTTCCCTTGGCTCAAAGAACGCAATTTCAAAAACAAGGCGTCGGTACTAACAACCTAGCCTGGGCTTATCACTCCGAAAGTCAAGACGAGCTATTAAATTTGATTCCAAGTTACGCAAAAGGTGAACCAACTTGGAACCAATTGCGTGAACTTGGTGTAGGTTGGTGGATCCGGAATTTGTCATTGTTGAAACAATGTGTTCAAGTATTAGCAAAAGCGGCTTATCAAGTCAAACAGGATCCTATGGACGCTGCTTTGTATTATTTAGCAATGAATAAGAAGAGTTTACTTTGGGGTTTATACAGGTTTGTAAAAATCGAATCAAGAATATGAAAAACGGAAATTTTTAGGTCAAAACGCGACGATAGAATGACACAATTTTTCGCAAATAATTTCTCAGAGGATCGATGGCGGAAAGCAGCTCTTAAAAACGCCTATGCTTTACTGGGAAAACAAAGATTCGAACATGCAGCTGCATTTTTCTTACTCGCTGGTAATCTGAAAGATGCCACCGAGGTGTGTTTACAAAAATTGCACGATCTCCAACTTGCCCTAGTGATTGTGCGTCTCTACGAAGGCGATGGTGATTGTTTCAAGAAGTTGTTGTATCAGGAGATTTTGGGTTGCGATTCTGATGGTTCAAATGAGGATATAACTAAAGCACACCCAGATCCCTTTTTACGTTCGATGGCTTACTGGTCTTTGAAGGAACACCAAGCGGCTTTGAGCACTCTTCTTATCGGTAATGCAGGCACCCAACACCACACACATGAAGACGAAGCTAGAGAAACCAAAGAAGCCGATCCGAATGTTTTCAATTTTTATGTTTATTTAAGAACGCATCCATTACTTGTAAGACAACACATGGCGAATTGTGGTCAAAAGAAGGCTTGGCTTCCTGGGGGTAAACAAGTGGTAGTCGAGGAATCGATCACACCTTTGGAAAGACAATTGTATTTTGCTACGGCGCATGGACACTTTAGGGCAGGTTGTCCCGCTCTTGCTTTAGAGGTTTTGTCAAAACTTCCCTATATTGTGACAGAAAATAAACAAATGACTCCTTGTAAGTCGATGAATTTTCTGATTCTTGTATTTTATGTGTCAATTTTAGTGGTGTCGCCGAAAGTAAATGAAACAAAGACTGAAATTGACACTGGGATTATTTCATGGGAGAGTGGTCAACAGACAGGCGATACGTTCGATTGGGGAGCGACTTTGTCTGATTTTAAAACGAAAACTGATGATTTGGACTTGAAGTGGAGTGATGATGAAAAGGATTCGGAAACTTCAGATGAAGGACTTAAAATGAAGTGTGACAGTAAAGATGAAGCAGATGAGGAAAGTGACGAAGCGGTCACTCAACATATTGATATTATGGCACAACAACTGAAATTTGTCGCCTGTTTGAAAATTCTCATGGAGGAGTTGTCCACGCTAGCGACCGGATTCGAAGTGGATGGTGAGTGAAAACCATTTTTGTAAGCAAAAAAATTAAAAAAATATAACAAAATTAAAAATATAACAAAAAAAAAAACAAACAAGAAAATATTAAGCATGAGAGAAAACCATTTTGTAGAGCAAAAGAAAGTGAAAAAAATATTAACAAAAAAATAACAAACAAGAGAATAAAAAGCACGAGTAAAAAAAGAGAAATAAGGCGAGAAAAATAAATTAACTAGATAACAGAACTATGATATAACTAAATGCAGTTTTGGAAAAGAAATTGTAGCAACTGTAACTTACATATTTTGTAATTCAAATTTTTGTTAATAAAAAATAATGACAGAAAATTGAGTAGTGTCCAAAAAGAAGGTAAATTAAAATTTTTCATTTTGTAATTTATTCAACCTTTTAGTGTAATATGATTTAGTCTGAAAATTTTTCACACTGAAAGAGCTGTCGTTTATGAAAAATTATTCTTTACTATAGTTTTAATGTTTTTATTATTTTTCTTCAATTTTCTTGTAATTTCAACCAACCAAATAGTTGAAATAAAGTTACTTACAATAACAGTAGTAATTCTTTTTTTTATTAAATTACCAATTCTACAAGCAAAAGTAAGTGAAAAAATAAACAAAATGTGGACGGTTGTGGTTTATAAAAAATATTTGAGACGCAAACTGTTTCTTGACGAGCAAAATGGAAGAAATAAGTAAAGTTCGGACTTTTTAGCACAAAAAGTACGAAAATAAGCGATGAAATATGCTTAATATTTAAGCAAAATATGCATAGAAAAGCACAAAAACTGAAAATATGCCTTAAAAAAACACTCATAACTTTTTTTAAGAAAGCTTCAGTGCTATTCAAACAAAATAAATTTATTTTCTAATAAAAAAAAGTATCAAAGAAAATTACCAATTTTACAAGCAAAAGAAACTGAAAAAGTAAAACTGTGGAAGGTTGTGATTTATAAAAAATATTTGAGACGCAAACTGTTTCTTGACGAGCAAAAAAGGAAGAAATAAGTAAAGTTTGGACTTTTTAGCACAAAAAGGACGATAATAAGCGCTGAAATATGCTTAATATTTAAGCAAAATATGCATAGAAAAGCACAATAACTGAAAATATGCTTAAAAAAACACTCATAATTTTTTTTCAAGAAAGCTTCAGTACTATTCAAACAAAATAAATTTATTTTCTAATAAAAAAAGTATCAAAGAAAAGTACCAATTTTACAAGCAAAAGAAAGTGAAAAAATAAACAAAATGTGGAAGGTTGTGATTTAAAAAAAAATATTCTAGACGCAAACTGTTTCTTGACGATCAAAAAAGGAAGAAATAAGTAAAGTTCGGACTTTTTAGCACAAAAAGGACGAAAATAAACGCGAGATATGCTTAATCTTTAAGCAAAATATGCATAAAAAGGCACAAAAACTGAAAATTTGTCTTAAAAATACACTTCTCATTTTTTTTCAAAAAAACTTCAGCGCAATTCAAACAAAATAAATGTATTTTCCAATAAAAAAAAGTCTCAAAACAAACGTTTAACAAAAAAAAAATATTTTTTTGAATTTTATAAAATTTTAAAATTTTTTTTTATGAATAAATGTTTTTCTAAATTATCGACCAGAAAGTCGTTTCTTTCTCTTAACGGTTAGCACATTTTTAAAGTGTGAGGAGCTTCTTTCCACTTCTATGTTTGTAATAAAATTGGAGCGTATTTAATATTATCTATCGTAGAAGGATATCTAAAGCAATGATATTGTTTTTAAAATTTCTTATATTTTTTCTAATAAAATATAATCCTCATTTTAGACAAAAATTTTTGCAATTTTCAGTTCCACTTACTTTTGAAATAACGTTTTTAAAATTATTTGTTATTTCAACTGATTCTACTAAGGTCAGACCTCGCTTTTCAATTTTTTTTTTAGTTGAATCACTCACCAAAACATAAGTGGCTTCTAAAAATGTCAAATTATACCTTAGTTTTTTATTTTTTAAAACTTTTTAAACTAAATTTTTGTCATTTTTGGATTTAACCGGTTCTGCAACTAGACGACTCAATTATAAATTATTTGTAACTACATATTAGCCTAAAGCTAAAAAACTTCAAAAACTAAAATGATCAAAAATATCACAAAAAACGTTTTTTAGCATAAAAAAGGCAAATTAGCAAATAAGCCTAAAAAAATATTTATTTGAAACAGAAAACTTTAATCTGCCTATATCGACAAGAAATTTTACATAACTTATTAAAATAACGGATTAGCATAATGCTAAGAATCCGAATTCTAGAAATAAGACGAAAAAATAAATTAACGCATAGTAACATTAATAACCTACAAAAAAAAATATAATTAACAAACTTGTAATTATATTGGAAAATCAAACTTTTTTAAATCGATAACATAACTAAATGCATTTTTTGAAAAGAAATTGTAGCAACTGTAACTTACATATTGATAATTAAATTTTTTGTTAGTAAAAAATAATTTGAGAAAATTGAATAGTGCCCAAAAGAAGTTACATATTGAAAAAAAAACCTGTTGGATTGATATGATTTGTTAAAATATGAAAACAAATGGCTTCGTCAGCCTTTTTTTTCAAGTAAAGACCGCGAACTCAAGTGAATTGGTAAAAAAATGTTTTCATTGAGAAAAATTTTAAATCAAGTGATTTTAAGTCGATTTTTAACCGGTTTTGAAAAATTATTCTTCGCGAGTGGTAACATTTTCATTGTTTTTCTATCTTTTTTTATTTTTTTAACTTCAACCAACCAAATGGTTGAAATAAATAAAAAAAAATTAAATAATAATTTTTGTGGTTCAGGGGGGCAGTTGCGCTACCAGCTGTACATCTGGTTGGAGCGCGAAGTGGAAGCTTTAAGACAATTGTGTAATTACTCAACCACCGATATTGTCGAACCTTTAGACCTAGAATCGTCACCGGAAATGGAAAATTCTGTCACTGAAGCTGGAACAAGACCCACATTACACGAAATCCTTGTCCAAGAGAAGTTAGATTTTGAGGCTAAAGTGCAACGAGCTGCCAAAAGAAAGAGATGGCTTAGAGGTAACTTTTGTATTTGTTGAAGTGAGCGAAAAAAAAAATGTTTGGTGTTTTTAGCCAATGAAACTCTTTTGAGAACTTTACTTAGCTACTGTTCGTTGCATGGTGCAACCGGTGGTTTAGCTTCCGTACGCATGGAACTAGTTCTTCTATTACAAGAACTGCAACAAGAGAAAACCCATCAACAGTTGTTGAGTCCTCTTCCATTCCCTACCAGTTTACCACTTCTTGCAGCCAGTGTTGCCAGTAGTAAAACAGTGATTGCTGATCCGATTCGCTATCTGCAATGTCTTATTCACGATATGTTGGAAACTGTACTAAAAACGCGCTTAACTTTTCTTTTTTTAAGTCATTGTTTCCAGATTGTTGAACTTCCAAGACCCAACACTTACCAAAGCCAACTTACAGTTCTCCGAGACTTGGCTATAGCATTATCGGCGTGCATTTATCAATCTTTGTGTGATTCAGATACTTTCAAAAGTAATCTACCTGATAGTCAAGAAGTTTGTTCCACGCATTTAGTCGGAAGAAGGAGACGAGTTTCAGTCAATGACGGTCAACAAATCATCACTTTACCACCTAAATGGCCCGGTGTGACAAGTCTACGGGCTTTATTAGCTCGAGAAAAAGACGAAGACACTCCAAGATTGACAGTGATATTATGTGAGGCCTTCTCAGCGACGTATTTAGCACTTGTTTTGTACGGTTTGAGCACCTGCGACTGTGTTATTCTATTCCATGTAACAGCACATGTTTTCAATCAGGATGTGTGGGGACAGTAAGTTTAACTTGATATATAGGGTGTCCTGAAAAAACGATAAAAAATTCTGGGGCTAAAACTGGGTGATTTTAAAAAAACTGCATTATTTATGGCCCGATTTCAAAAATTTAAGAAATAAATTAAATATCTTTTAATATTTCTAATTTTTTAAATTAGAACCCATTTTTTTTTATTTGGAAGGTATTTAAAAAAAAGTTATTAAAGTTAAAAAAAATTAATGAAAGTTGCATGGTGTCATAAGACATGTCAAAAAGAAGCAAATAAAAGAAAATATTTTTTTTTAATATTTTTTCAAATTTTTAATAAGAAAGAAATAATTCAGAAAAACAGTAAGTTTAACTTGAAAAAACGTTAAAAAATTCTGGGACCAAAACTGGGTGATTTTTAAAAAATGGCATTATTTATGGCCCAATTTCAAAAATTTAAGAAATAAAGTAAATGGCTTTTAATATTTCTCATTTTTTTAAATTAGAACCCATTTTTTTTTATTTGGAAGACATTTAAAAAAAATATTAAAGTTAAAAAAATAATAATAAAAATTGCATGGTGTCATAAGACAATGCCATTTCATGTCGAAAAGCAGCAAATGAAAGAAAATATTGCCAATATTTTTTCAAAATTTTAATAAGAAAGAAATAATTCAGAAAAACATCTAATTTAGTGTGATTCATTTATTTTATTATTGTTTATTTATTTTGGTTACTTTTAATACGATTATTGTTAACGTCAATTTTTTATTGACATGGAACTAAATTTCATAATTTTTATTGTTTTTTTTTCAACTTTGGTAATTTTTTTTTAAATATTACTAGGCGTCATGACCTTTCTAACAAGCATTTTTTGGTAACAGTCTTAAAACAGGCTATTTGTCTGATAATTGTGAAAATAAAAAAGCTCCAACACGTCACATTTTTAATTAATATGTCAAATTTACAATTTCCACCAATAGCATATCTTTATGTCATCCAATCAAAAGCGTCTTTTGCCATAAAACTTCTCTTCCTGCTGTCATTGAAGTGATTAATCTTCTTGTTGTCATGTCAGATGAATTTTTTGATTTATTAATTTTTTTATTTCCACTTATTAAATGTTTTTGGAAATAATCTAATCAAATATAAGTCGACCATCGTTTTTATTATTGAATTACGAATTTCAACTCAAACTTTTTTACTCGTTGAAATTTGGAAATTTATATTCAAAGATTAATTCAACTTGTCAAATTATTATCACAAAACAGTTTTCGTAAAATTCAAAAATTTATTCGATAAAAAACGATGGTCTTGTAATATTATTATTGGTAAACGTTAACCTAAGGCATTACTATGAGAAATAAATTTAAATTTCATCCTTTACTACTGATTTGTAATCGCAAAAAAAAACACAAAAAAACCTTACGTGATGGAGAATTTTGGTGATTGTTTTTTTCAATGTTAAAAAAAAAACAAAAATGTCGCCTTGTGCTTTTAGTAAAAGTAGAATACACAAGTACCAAGAAAACTTATATTTTCCAAATTATGAAAAAAAAAAATTGTGTCTATTTAAAATTAGAAAGTTAAATAATATAGCCCAGAATATATTATGACATTTAGAAAAATCCTAAAATTGTCAACTTATACCATAATAAAAGCCATTTAATTTAGTTTTTTAATTTTTGAAATCGGGCCGGGCCTTAAATAAAATTTTCACAGAGCCTGTCGTTTTTTTAAAATCACCCTGTATATTCATTTTCATTAAGAAAAGTAGCAGGAGAAAAAAATAGGCAGAAATGCTTCCTATGGGAGTTAAAGCCCTCCAAAAATGAGGAGCAAAGATTTTTTTTCTTTCGGAGGCATTTCCGGGACTCTTTTTCTATCTTGACCTAAGGAATCACCTCCCAAATCTTTTAATGTTTTTTGGACACCCTGTACGATTAGAAATAAAAACTAAATTGTAGGTTATTCGGTGGGGGTATTAAGAAGTTGCTTAGGACCGCAAGTATCGGTGGAGTTCAACCGAATACTGCTCCCCCAGGTTCGCAAAGTACCCAAGCAACGCCAACTGAAGAAATGACCGGTCCTGCAAACTGGTTAAATAAGCAAAGAGTTAAGTTGAATACAAAACTCCTCGGACATCAACCATCGCAAATGAAGGAGGATAAGCCAACTTATCGCGAACAATTTGTGCCACCTGAAATGAGTATTCTCGCTTATTTATTGACTAAAGTGAGTATGAAATATTTTGGGTCAAAATTTGAACAATTGAACGATTTGTTTAGCCTGACGCCGGCCCTGATTGTGATGAAATCGAGAGTGAATCAGAGAGTGAAGACGAGGATGTTTTCGATATGCCGACTCAAAGTGTTCGAGTTGTAAACAATGAACATTCGGATCCAAATTCGTACTCGTGGCTTGTTTTGAAATTGGCAACGTTGAAAATAGTCCAAACGCGATTGACCGAATTCCTATCAGTGAGTATTAATCCTACAGAGTGATCAAAAAAACAAAAAAAATATGTAGGTGGCGGGCTTGGAACTTAACGAGCTCCCTGTGGCGAGCCCTCTGATACATTCCTCTCTACGACGCTTAACAAACTGGCAGGAGAATTTGCGAAAAGAGTTAGATTGTCGACAAGCACCTCCCGAATATATTCCAGGATGCTTTGTCGAAAACACCACAGGACCACCAATTCAGAAATACAGGTGAAGCTATTTTGTGCATTATTTATTAGTTTATTACTAATTAACACTAGAAACTCATTCATACAGTCGGATCGAAAATGTTGTGTAGAAATTATAAGGGGCTCGCGGCTTTGCCGGTCACTTCGGATTAGTGTCAGACGTACTGTTAGAGTTTCAAAAAAATGTTTAAAAATTTCTTAGAGGAATGTTCAAATTTAAAAAAATTAAAACTTAAAAAAATTAGACTTGCATAAAATTTCTTGGAGAAATGCTTAGTAAGGTATAATTTTAGACAATTGCTGGAACCTCACAACACTCCATTTAGTAACAAAAGCGCCGCAAGTACAGCTCGACGTTTGTGGACTTATCTGGTCCATCAGGAGTCAGTGCAGGACATTTTTATTCGGGCTGTTTTCGGTAAACGAAGATCATTGAGTGCTTTGGAGGAAGAGTTACCGCATCCTGAACCTGCCGCCCCCGAACCTGTTCGCATCATCCACAAAGAGCAGGACTCTATTGCCGCCTTCAGCCTCAATCAAGTAAATTCATTACATTTTTATAAGATTTTATTTAACTTTACTTTAAATAATAATTTATAAACAATTAACAATCCTGCAGGTTGTTATTATTTTTAAGGCCAAAACCAGCCCCTTTATCTCTCATAGGAACGGGCTGAAATTTTAACATTACTATTTGAGACAGTTTCATCAATGCTATAAATAAAAAGTTTGTGTTTGAAATTTAAATTATTTCACAAAACAATAAATAAAGAAATACTAAAAAGTGAAAAATAAAAACATATAAAAAATTTCTTTAATAATAACACTAAACAATAATGACCTAAAAATTTTATCCTACATAAAAAAAAATGTGTCAATATTTTAAAGATTATAAAGTGAATTTTGCCACCGAATTGAAATATTTGTTCCCAATTTTGATTTACTGGATTTATTTCAAAACATTGGAACATACAAAAGAATTGAATTTTTACATTTTATACAATTGTACGCAACTTTTTTTTTGCTGCTCTTATAGCTCAGACATGGTCTCCGGTGACCATTACCTAATATCCAAGTTAAAAAAAATCTTCACAGAATTCTATTTTTTGACAATGAAGTGCGATTCACAGATTTTATGAGCAAGAAAAAAAATTTTTTAAATCAAAAATGAATTCTTAGATGTAATAAGTTTATTGATGTTACGAAGGATTATGTTGACAAATAAAAAAAGTTACTATTCTTTTTTCTTCTTGCTGATACCGACAATACTTTGAAGTCCTCTCACATATGAGAGCGCTTTTTCTTAAATCCATATCACAAAAACTGGAACTAACTTTAATTTTTTATGATCATATTTGGGTTTTCTGACCCAAAATCAGTTAGATTTAGTAAAAGAACTTTCCGATAATTTTTACTGTTGTTTAGTGAAAGCTTTTATTTAAGCAAAAAAGTTCTTCTCTGATAGAGAAAAAGTTACTTTTTAGTATATTTTTTTTACTAAAAGTTTATTTAAAAAAAATTATTTTTATTCTGTGTGTTGTTTAGGTCAACTCCGGTTTGATTGCGTAAAAAAATGTACTAAAAAGTAAAGTAGTATATTAAAGAACGCGTTTCGTAAGGCAACTTTTGAGGAACGTGTTCAGATTTAATGATGTTGAACAGAATAAATGATTAAATAACAGTTGTTTTTCAAAATAAAGCAATTTGAGCTATTTTCAATCCAATTTAACTCGATTTTAACACAGAAATCATCAGAACGAGTTCTTACAAATAACCTATGAAATAAGTTTTCTATGCTATTTTTTGTGTTTTGCGTACCTTTTTAACATAAAAGTCATTTTTTTTAAATTTTGGAACTCTTGCCCTAATAAATGTCACAAAGTTTGAAAAATTCTATTTTCAGAGTGTCAAAACTCCAATATTTTTCAAACTTTTGTCGAATTAACTATCAATACTGCGAATATTTCATGCACACCACCTGAAATAAGAGAAATCGCGTCAAACGTATTGATTTTTAGAGTATCAAAAAAATGTTTAAAAATTTCTTTGAGGAATGTTTAAATTTAAAAAATGTCAATCGAGACTTTTCTAAACATCGTTCTGCAAAAAACAGTTAGACAAACTAAGAAAGTGGTTTAAAAAAATTCTAGACTTATAAAATAATTAAAAAATTTCTTGGAGAAATGCTTAAGGTAAGGTATAATTTTAGATAATTGCTGGAACCTCACAACACTCCATTCAGTAACAAAAGCCCTGCACCACCTAAAATAAGAGAAATCGCTCAAAACGCCGCTGAAAATCACCATTACCAACCTTTAGAAAGTAAATTGTACTATAGCTATAGCATTCGGTTCTTTCAGACGCAAAAAAGAAAAAAATATTTTATTAGCTTTGGGGCGGTCAACTAAGCAAAATAATTGTGCAAAACTTGTGTTATAACCGCTCTTAAAGCTTTTATAAATTTTAAAAACTTAAGTTGTAAGCAAAAATGTTCTTCTGTGATAGAAAAAATGTTGCTTTTTAGTACATTTTTTTAATAAAAGCTATAAAAAAAAAAATTATTCTGTGTGTTGTTTAGGTCAACTCCGGTTTGATTGTGGTGGCGACTCCGCGCGAATTGCAAGAAATGGACATTTCCCTGTTGTTGGAACTCCCAGCATGGTTGGAAGATGAATGCGAGTTGGATATCTTGAACTTGACTAAAGACGTTCCCGATCCCAGTGTTCCTCCCTTCTTGGTGATCCAGAGCGCTGGTGATCGAACAAAAGACACGCAACCTGGTAGCCCCCAACCCGGTGGTAGTCAAAGCGGGCGCGGCACTAGTGTGGTAAGACCGGTTTTTGTTTGTTATTCCACGTTTAAAGTATTTATTAATAAATAACTTGGATTCGAGGGTAATCATGTTCTGTTTTGAGACACGTTACTAAAATGAAAATTTTGTGTACCTGTGTGTGTAGATGAAGGGTCTAAGCTTCCCGGGCTGTCACGATGCCAATTTTGTCCATCTCGTTCTGCTTCGGTCGGCGCACATGCTTCGACCGGTGTGTTTTCTAACACTCTGCTCTGTTTTAGCTTGTTTCCTGTGTTGTGATTGGTGTGTTGCAGATGGTTTAGTTGTAGTGTTTGGGGGAAAATGGAATATTTTTACCACCCAATAGTGTGAAAAATATTCTATTACCTCGTCAGGTCGAAACATCTCACTATTTTTTTATTTACCGCATGTATTATTATACTAAGTCGATTTAATTTAACACAAATATTATTTTGCTCTCTATTTACAGAAATTTGAACATTTTGTAGTAAACATTCTGCATTATTGTTGGTTCGAAAGTTATAAAAGTGTCGTTTCCGAGAAAAAGAATTATTTTTATTTCCGATCGAAGTGTCCTATGAGTTCCAAATTAAGTTGGCAACATAGACTGTCAAATTCAAACGTCAATTGTCATTCAACGCAGTCACCTGACACAACTAACATCACCAATAATTCAGTGTTGTCAACTTAAGTCACAGGTTACTTTGATCAGAAATTATTTGTGGTATATGGCAACGGGGATTAAGTGACGCTTTATTCCCTCATTTTTGACTAATAATGTGGTACTTGATTCCGAGAACTGAACTGAACTTCAAATTTTGACAAATTTATATATTTTTTTTGTTATTATTAATTTAATCTTTAATCCCGAGAATGTAGGCATGAGGTGACCAATGGGAACCGGGGGCATTTTCATTCAAGGGATTAAAATAGTTGTTTACTCCCTTGACACATAACTATCTTTGTTTTTTTTACAAATTCTTATCATTAGCGGCTTTTTTTAATAATCATAATAATAATTTTTTTTATTATTTATCATTTTAATGACAGTCTAAAAAATTAGACATTTTTAGACATTTTATTTGAATTTTACTCAGTTTTAAATACATATTGTTACTTTTAACAATGAATAAAAAGCTAAAACTGCATATTTTTTGTATTGAAACATTCTTTTTCTCGTTACGTGTCAATTACAGTGCGGTTTATTGTCTCTTGTTAGTATTTTTCACTTATTTATATAAACACAAAAAACATTATTATATCTATTATATCTACAAAAATATTTTTTCTAATCATATTAAAGAATTTGTACTTTTCTCAACTCTTTTCAGTTGAGAAAATTATTCAATCTTCAACTGTGGAGAAAATTGAAAAATGTGAAGAAAAAAATTACAGAGTGATTTTTAAAAAACGGCAAGCGCTGTAAAATTTTTATTTATGACCCGATTTCAAAAATTAAAAAAACTAAGTTATATTATTCTTGTATAAGCTGTCAATTTTAGAATTTTTCTATTAGTTGAATATTCAACTTTCTACGTTTAAATAGGGACATATTTTGTTTTTTCATAATTTGGAAGATATTANACTACAAATTATTTTTTTTAATTAACAAAGTTGAAAAAAAAATTAAAGTTAATAAAATCTAGTTCCATGGTGTCAATAAAAGATTGACAATAATAAAAGTAAACAAAATAAATAAATTAAAATACAAAATTAAAATCACACTCAATTAGGTGTTTTCTCTGATTTCTTATAATAATAATAATTTTCTTTTATTTGCTGTTTTTTCACATTACCATAATTGCATTGATTTATTTGACACCATGCAACTAGATTTTATTAACATTTATTTTTTTAATTTAATTTTTTTTTAACAATAATTTCTAGTAAAAGCGAAACATATTGCACAAGAAAAGTAATACCTTCCAAATTTTGAAGAAAAAAATATGGGTTCTAATTTAAAATGGAAAACTGAATTTAGCTCAAAATATGTATTTTGAAAAATTCTAAAATTGTCGGCTTATACCAAATAAAAAGCAACTTTATTTATTATTTCTTAAGGAAATTTTTGAAATCGGGCCATAAATAAAAATTCTGCAGCGTCTATCATTTTTAAAAATCACCATGAAAAAAAAAAGTTATTATTTAAGATTAGAAAAAGTATACTATTAAACTCGAGAGAAATGGCCATTTCCACTCAGATGAATTACTCCACTCGCCTTCGGCTCGTATCGTAAATTTCATCTTCGTAGAAATGATCAACTTTCTCACTCGTAGAATAATATATTATAGTTTTTTGTGGGTGGATTTGAGAAATCTACAACTGTTCGAAATAAACCGCATTGAGGAATGCACTCAGAAACTTGATATTAATTTACTTTAAATGGCTTAATATTTGGCCCAATCACCAAGCAAATAGGTACCTTGGCTAATTTAAAGCATGTTATTGTTTAAACAAATGGACCAATCATAATCGCCGGTTTTCTCTTAGGTATTGAAACACAAAATTGATGGAGTACGTCGAATCAGTGCCCATCCTCTTCTTCCCCTATGTAAGTTCAATTGAACAAAAACTTGAGGTTTTTAACTAAAAATTTCATTAGACTTAACCGGTGGTCAAGATGGCTCAGTCCAATTGTGGGAATGGGGCCACCAACAACCGGTGGCGACCCCTAGACCAGCAGGGACTTACGCTAAAGTCACCAGAGTGAGGTTTTCGCAACACGGTAACAAATTCGGTGTTGCTGATTCCGACGGAAATTTGAGTTTATTCCAAGTCGGGTTAAGTGTCAACGCGACTCGACCATTTTTCGTAAGGCTTTTTACCAATTTTTCGTTTCAATTTCACGTTTTTTATAGACCCTCCAATGCCATAATAAAGGTATCAGCGATTTTGTTTTTCTCGGATCTTGCAGCTTGCTTGCGACTGGTACGACTGAAATTTAGTTGGAAGTCCAAGTTAATGTTTTTTTTTCAGCTGGTCATAGTTCTGAAAGTAAGAACGTTTGTATTTGGGACTCGATTTTGCCTCATGGTAAAGCTTTGGTGGTGGCGTTCACTTGCCACGACCAAGGGGCTAGCAGTCTCGTTTTCGCCCCCCAACACCAAGTGCTTATTTCGGCTGGTAAAAGGGGCGATGTTTGTTTYATCGATGTGCGATCGAAAACGATTCGACACAAYTTCACGGCMCATGAAAGTGCCGTCAAGTGCATTGCGATTGATCCCCATGAAGAGTACTTCGCAACGGGGTCGGCAGATGGCGATATAAAGGTAAAATACTCCAAAAAATTAAAGGAACAAATTTTCTAAATTTTTTGGTGATTTTTGAAAGGCTGTAACTCATCTAAAAATGGTCATATCTAGATTAAAATAATAATAATAATAATAATAATAATAATAATAATAATAATAATAAAGGTCTTTATTAATAAATTAAAAGTAATACAAAGATGCGGAGGCGAAGTCTAGCTTGAAGCTATTCAAGTTAACCTCAAAAGAAAATTGATAAAAAAAAACAATTATAACATAAAAATAAAAACAATTATTACAAACAATATAAAATTTAAATAAAAAATAAATTCGGAAGTTACTTAATAACTAAAAGTAAAGAAAGAAATCATTACCAGTCGCTGAAAAACAAAAAGAAAAAACAAGAAAGAATTCTTTAAGAAGAAATGAAGAAAAAAAACAAAAATTATCCAAAAGTTATCCAACTCAGTTGAACAAAGTTAATTATTAAAAAGCAAGTTCTTAATTTGAGTCTTGAACGTAAACAATGAATTTCCAGAATTAAAGATTTCGATGTATTTGTTATATGTTCTAATTACGTTATAAGAGAATGATCTTTGATACAATGCGGTACGAAACTGTGGCATCGATAACTCATTTAAATTACGAAGGTTGGTTTTGACGATAAGAATGCTTTTTCTAGAATGAAACTTACTCCTTAGGTAGAAAGGTGTCGATGTCAAGAATATGCGATAAGTAAATACAGAAAAGTTTATCAATTTTTAACCATTTCAGGTCTTTAATTTTTTCTGATACATGATCGTGTTTCTTTAAACCAAAAATTAAACGGCAGCAATTGTTTTGAATTTTTTGCAAACGATATTTGTTAAAACTGTCTAAGCAAGGATAGTAAATAATGAGTCTATAATTTATAAACGAAAGCACAAGGGTTTCACAAAGTTTTTTACGAAGTTTAAAATTTAAGATACTATAATTGGAATACAGAAGTTTAAGAGCGACATAACATTTTTTAATAACAGATGATAGGTACATAATTAGTAAATCTTAAATCTCTATCAATTATCAATCCAAGACATTTGGTAGACTGCACAATGGGAAGACTTTTATTATCAATTTTCACATTTAAATTCAGAATCACTGAATCATAGGTACGTTTATTTGGCAAACAGAGTAGAATAATAAATACATTTATCAGAATTTAATTTTAAGTTCATTTTACGCTCAGAATTAGATTACTCCATTTTACAGCTTTAAGATTCCAGTTTTGAGATCTTTTGGCAAATATTTTTTCTGTGCTACGGTTATCACGCAATTCTAAGTAATAGTGCGAGAAAAAAAATGAATTTTTATATTTTTGTTTTTGGTCCACTTTGAGCTTTGAGCTGTAAAAACACCTAAAAACATTAGTCTCCCCATCAATTTTAGTGAATACGCGGTAGATTTACTAAAACACGCAAAAAGTTACTTTTTTCCCTTTTCTTTAAATCAATGTTAAAGGTGAAAAAAAAAATATTTTCCAAAAAATCATAAAAGGATCTTATAAGACATTTATTCCAGTTTTTGACACTACCCATGTACAGGGTGCGCCAGAACTCGCTCCCCAGAGAAAATTTTTAAGTAAGTTTAGATACCAGGAACATGAAAAAAATGTTTAAAAAATTCTCTGTCAAAAAATTTTGACATTTATTTTTTGACATTTGACATTTTTTTATATGTATTTAATGATACTAATGATCTTGTTTATGTTTTTTACAATTATTTAGTAAAGGTACAATAATTTTGCCAATAAAAGCCACAAATAACATTGAACAGAGTTACAATTTAGGATAAAGCTTCCTTGTTTCCTCTTTTAATAGCCTATAGCAAAACAACTTGAAAAATTATTTTTGCAACAGAAATAAATAGAGTCAAAGTGCAAACTTTAAGCTTCCAAATTTTTATAGATAAAATTTTTTTAGCATTTTTTCCATGTTCCTGGTTCCATACCTTATATTTTTCTCTGGGGCGCGAGTTCTGGCGCACCCTGTATACTCTGTGTGGTCATTGTTTGCTGAGATATCGATGATCAAAGACAAGAGGATCATTTTTCATTTAAAGTCAGATATCTTAGCGACAAATTGACATAAAGAGAATATGAAAAAAGCATATTAAAGGTGAATAAACATACTATCCGGCCTATGCATTGACTTTGTAAAAAAAAATTCCCCACGTCCGTGGACCAAAAACAAAAATTTAGATTTTTATTTTCTCCCTGATAACCGTAGCACAAAAAAAAATTTTTGCCAAAAGATCTCAAAACAAGAAACTTAAAGCTTCAAAATGTTTTTTTTTAATCTAGATACGACCATTTTTCGATGAGTTACAGCCTTTGAAAAATAACCAAAAAATTTAGGAATTTTTTTGTTCCTTTAATTTTTTCGAGTAGTGTATTTGGAAGTTTTCACTTTGTGTTAACACTTTTTCCAGATATGGGGAGTTGCAGTACCCAATGTTTTGCTGTCTTTACCGACTGAGCACGCGAGGAGTAGCTTTTTTAAGAATATTGGACAAGGAGTTACACAATTGCATATTGATTCTCATGCACGGCTTTTCTCTTGTGGCGCTGATGGCAGTATGAAAGTCCGTCAGTTGCCCGATAGGGAAACTTTGCTTATTTACAGCCATCATTAGTTTTGCCTAAAATTTTAGATAGTCGCCGTTTTATTATAATTAATTGATATTTTTATGGCTTGTTATTTGACTGTTATGTCAGTTCCCATTTTTTTGTTGAGTCTTGTCGAAATTGCTATCATGTAACATTATATTGTTATCAATGTGATTATAAAGGTTTAAAATGAAACTGTTGTATTTTAGATGTATTTGTTTAGAATAAATATTTCGTTTGAAGGTTGCGTTTTTTATTATGCACAACAAACATTTTTAAAAACCTTAAAATTCTTTTTTTCTGGTATTTGTCATTTTTTGTTCTTGTATATGTCATCTGGTCTAATATAATTTTATAAAATAAATATTTAGGTGTTAATTCTGAGTTGACCGTTCTAATTTTCCTTTAAAGATAAATATTAGTCAATTAAGTAATAGTTGTGAAGAGGAAACATTTTTCAGGTTTGGAATTTTACATTACATAATAAATAATAGTAGTTTACTCTACAAGTAAAGAAAAGTCGTTCAGATAATGCCAAGTTTTCTTTACGTGTCTAATACGTTTTCTCATTCATATGTTTTTTATAAAAAAGTAGAAATGTTCCAATTATTTAGTTGCTGATTTCTTAATTTGAAATTAATTGTCAAAAATAAAAAGCAACATGAAAAATAATTATTGCATTTTTTCATGTGCCATTGTTTTTAATAAATTGCGTGTGTCGGCTTGCCGCCGCTAAAATGCAGTTTTCTACCTGAAACAGGTAGATGGTGAGTCGTAAAGTGTTGTTTAAGACTCAAGAGCCCCATTTAAAAAAATGAGTAAGAAAAAAAAAGTGGTATATCAATTTTTTCACCAATAAGATAAAAAAAATCACCAACTGACCATTATTATATCGAGTAAGATAAAAAAAAAAAGGAAATCAAATAATAGCAACCGTTTTTAGAATAAAGTTCTACTTTTACTACTTTTACTCCTATGTAAAGAATAAACAACATTATATACGAGAAATATTATTTTTACTATCGACTGTTTATGAATATTATTATCTACGATATGAGAGGTCAGTATGTTTATTAATTAGGAGTATATTATTATATAACTCAAGATTATAAAAAGCCTGGTCATGTTAACAACTAAAACACAATATTTGATATAGATAATATACAAAAATAATTACTGTTAAGTGTGTTTGAAATTGGCTTGATGGAAATTTTTTGACTTACAATATTCCGAGGAGGAAAAGTTTAAATTTCCTTATATTAAAAAATTTGCTAAGTAATTACTAATTCTGATTTTATCTGCTTTTACGAGCAACATGCGCTCTTTTAGGTAAATCATTCATCAATCATCTTCTCAACTTTTGAGAGAAATTTGGGTTACGAGGTTATCATTATTACAAAATTATTCATTCTTGTATGTAATAATAAATACCTACCAATTATACCAATATTGATTTTCTTGCTTTATTTTATATAACAAAGAAGACATAATTATTTCGGTTAAATATTAAACATTGGATTCCGAAAGACGAAATTAAATTATTTTGTTTTACTAAAAAATGTGTTGCTTTTTTATCTTTTTTATTTGTTGTTATTTTTAATGCAGACATGCGTTGTGTACTTTTTAAGTTCTTTTATCTTTATATTTAAATTTCTAAATGTAGTAGGTACATATTCTGTAATAACAGTTTTTATTTTTGTTTTGTGCACCATTTTTAGATATTACATTTTACAAAAAGTTGTTATACTAGAAATTTTTTATTTTGAAACTAGGGTGTTACTGCCCCCCTTATTTTTAAGTAAAAATGTTCTTGTACCTAAATCGAATGTTTTTTTACATCGGACAATGATATAAAAGCGTGTTTTATCAAAACAACAAACATTTGCTCATAATATTTATCAAAGTGCGTTGTTAATCGGTTTTCAGTTTTTAAAATGGCACCAAAGGACAATTTAACAGCCGTTTTGTACGGCATCAACGATATGAGACTTGTAAGTGGGAATCATTTTTAAATTTTATTTTAATTTTTTACGGCTCAGGAACAAAGACCAATTCCCGTACCCAAACCAAATCGTAAGTTATCACAAGTTGATTTATTTATTGATTAATTTTTTACAACAACAATAGAAGTGCTTCTTAAAGTGGAAGTTGTTGGTATTTGTGGATCCGACGTTCATTATTTAGTCAGTGGCAGAATCGGGCCTTTTGTCGTGAAAGACCCCATGGTTATAGGTTTGTTGATTTAACATTTTAATACTTTAATAAAAAATTACTCAAAAAGGTCATGAAGCATCGGGAACGGTGGTTCAGGTCGGACGCGACGTCAAAAACCTTAAGCCAGGTATTTCGTTGATATTTTTTATATGAAAATTATTTTAATTAAATTTAGGTGATCGTGTTGCTATTGAACCTGGAATAACTTGTCGCACATGCCTTGACTGCAAAAGTGGCAATTACCACTTGTGTAAAGACATGATTTTTTGTGCCACACCACCAGTTGATGGAAATTTGACCAGATATTACGTCCACGATGCTGATTTCTGTCACAAGTAATTTTTTTCTTAAGAAAATTATCGCAAATTATTTTTTTCTATTTTGCGTGCCTTAATAGGCTAGTGATTTTTGGTTTTTAATGTTGCTGACAATGCCATTGGAAGTAGCCACTGACGCAAAATTCCCTAAATTTTTTTAAACACCAAAAAAAAACACAAAATGGAAAAAGTAGTTAAAATACTCGCCACTCAAGGAACCATTTTTTCCAAGGAGTCGCTATAGTCCGGTCAAATTAGTCATAAAAATAGTGGTCAAATAAAGAAAATTCCGACAGAGCTAAATTTTGGTGGAGACCTTGGGTATACCATTAGAAATAAAGTGTCAAAAGTCCCCATCGATCCCATGTGTGCTAAAAAAGTTATTCGGGGTCAAAGGTCAATATTTGACGTTTTTTAGATTTTTTTCGAAAACGGCAAGTTTTATCAAAAAAGTAGCTCAGACGAAAATTAT